TGAACGAATCATTCTCTGTGAACTAATCTTTCGCCGTGAACTAATCTTTCGCTGTGACTAATCTTTTGCTTCGTTCTTGCAGATTCGTTTCATTTGTCACATGACAGTGAGCTTGGGTCTCTTTTGCTCTCATTCATCTTCACATTTTGGTGTGTTTTTCTTTCTTACGTTTACACATGGTTTTAATTGCTTATGGGATTTTGTGTACTTTGTAGACTTTGTCAGCGGAAGCAAACCATGTTGCCTTCAGTATTTAGTTTTGGAGAATCGCAGCCTTCTTTACAACGCCCACAATAGGGCTAAAGCGCCACCTGCTGTAAAACGAATGAAATTATTAGTTCAAGATTCGTTCACGACTCGTTCATTTTACTGTTCGAGAGTCAAAGATCCGAATCAGTCAAAAGAGTCGGTCTTCCCATCACTACTTCAAATGTGTCATTAGTGGTTTAAGCTTATATACCTGTGCAGTGGTTTTTGACTTCCCAGGTGTGTGTTTAAATGTGGTAGGCCAATGAAAGAGGTTAGGCCTCTTGTGGCCAATCATATTATTGTTATTGTATCATGGTTGTGCCTGCAGTCACCACTACGTGGCGTTGCTGCTCCATGATTCAGCAGTGTTGGAGGACATGTTTATGAACCTTTTGTCACTGACAAAGTTATCATAAAAGGAGTCAAAAGGAGTCAAAGCCTTGAGGTCTAGCAAACAACAGAGGGTTCCCTGTATTGGGAGTCTTCCCATTGTTCCCAGGGAGTAGATGTGTTTTTGGAATAGCAGGGAGTAATCTGGAGAGTTGGTGTGAAGAGAATTTAGAAATTATCTTTGAATGTTTGGGGCTATGTGAGTGTGTGTGCTTGGGAAGGTCTTTTAGTGTCTTAGCAGCTTCCTGCTTTTACACCAAAACCAAATGTGAAAACCACTGAAATCTAACAATCGTGAAAATATTTCAGGTGCAAAGAGAAGTCTGTCAGTGCCAAGAGCAAGGGCTCATACTGTATATACATGACCTTTGACCCCATAGGTGGGAGTTTATTAGAAACTGTTGTAGTAAAATTTAATGTGAAAATATATTCATTTGTGCCAATGGAGTGTCCTGGTCATTTTGTGAGAATATTGGCAAAAACAGTTTCTTTGTGAAACAAAAGAGAATTTCCTGAGTTAATACTGTATATTTCTGTGTCTTTGAAACCCTGCCTGTAAATGTCACCTCTGGTTTCCAGTTTTCCAGTTACATTTCCTAAACTGACCAAGTATGCATTGGCATTAGGAATTTCTGAAGATTCACTGTACATATTGAAAGGAGCTGTTTAAAGAGAGGAGTAAAAGTTCTAAGTTAAATAAAACATTCTACTTAACTAAACTAACAGGTCTCGACAATCCTCAGGGAATATTGACTTACCCTTGAACAATTTATTCAGTGCCATGTCACAGTAGTTCATCATGTGTCCCATTTATTATTTTTAATAATATATATTTTCAAATATGTAGATTTGTAAATATGTTCTTAATTGTACTATAAATGTGTACATTTTTTCTCTAAAATACATTACATTCAAATACCAAAGATGCAAGAAGTCTGAAGAACCAGCTCAACTTACTGCTACAAAATCAACTACTGTACTTAAAGAAGCGTCCATGAGAATGAGTGACTTTAAGCAGTGTCACTTGCAAATCATTAGTTACTCACAGATGTTCTCTATGTTAGGACATAATAATAGGCCTCTTTATTGACAGTACACAGTCAGGACAGCCTCAGTGTTGTCAGTTAACCACTGTACAGTAGCTAACGTCGCTGGTTCTTCATCAGCTGCTCTGTGCTTGTGGACTCTGGTGAAGCCTGATCTGTAAAGATTTATAAATATTTGACATGTCTCTGTGCCAAAGATGATAAGACCTACATTTTGAGGTGCTTAAAGGGTAGATGTGGCCACATTTAATCTTGAGCACTTGAATGCCATCCATCCTAGGAAAATCATGGCATCAAGTCACCTGGGTTCCTCTACACACAATCACACACAAACTGAAGACAATAGAAATAAAAACAATGCTGCAATCCATCTGCAGTCCACAAGACATAATTCTAATAGATGTGAAGCAGTAGCCTGCAGATACTTTATAATTGTGCAAACACAGCACTTACAGCCTTTTAGAACTTATAACATTGTAATGTATTTATTTATACAAAGCAACCACTGTTCTGTGTCTTGATGTCATTTTTATTTAGCAATGCACAAATGATAGTGGATAATAAAGGCACAAAGACGAGCTGGGCGGGTTTGGACATGTGCTGAGGAAAGATGTTAGATATTTTAGACCAAGAATGTTGGACATGGAGCTGCCAAGTAGGAGGAAAAGACCACAGATTTGTGAGCATTGTCAAAAGAGGAGATGTAGATGGTTGGTATGATACTACAGCTGGCAGAGACGGAGGCAGTTGTAGCAAGAAATTCCCCTAAATCGGCTGTTTTGTGTTTGTGGCGTCTAGTCAGACTTTTTAGGGCAAAGCTGCTATTAAAGAAACACTGACACAAGCTTTAGACCACTGGAGCCGTAGCTGTTGTCTCTCGCCCTTGATGGAATGAGTCTATTGCTGAAGGCGCATGTTTGTCTGAGCAAACAAAAATATATCTAAGTTGTGGGTTGAATTCCATTAATTAAGCAATTCCAAAACTTATTGTTTTACATTGTGTGTGCTGTAGGTGCGTTTTAGAGCCCTCAGTGTTCAAATGCTGACATTATACTAACATTAAGAGTTACAGTAGGTTGTGACAGAAATGCTCGGCTCATGTTGCCCATGTTTACCATCACAGTGTTCATGGCGAGCCAGCTGCTGCGAGGATTCCCTCAGACTGCATAAATGGCATGACTGAGATGCGTGGAAAGACTATAAATAGGGCAAGAAAGCACCGGCACTGTTACTGTTCTGCTGTTGTCGCTCATCCTAAAAGTAGAAGTGAGTGGTGTTTGAGTACACGAGAGTCGTCACTTACAGCAGTAACATTGGCTTTATTCTAACCACTCTTTAGACTTACTCTGTCCTCTGAGCTGCAAACTGGAACAGGTTTGTCTGCTCATACTGTACATACACTAAAAGTTAGCTCACATAACTCATGACAGGGGAAATAATGGGAATGCTTTGGCAGGAAGGAGAGGGTGTGAAAAGGGCAGATCGGGAAGTGTGCAAAGTCAAACTGTCAGCTAAGCCTGTTGGACTGTGGTAAACAGACCTCAGCCATGCCTTTGTCACTTGACACATTTTTTTTTTTTTTGCCAGAAGCTAATTTTATTTAAAGCTTCTAGTACAGCGACAATAAAATAAATACCAGAAGTCCTGGCTCAGGATTGTTTTAATGAAAATTTGAACAGATGTTCGGAGGGTCTATGTTGACCCTTGTGTTGTTGTTTGAGAAAACCCTTCTCAGTTGTTTCCACACCATGGTTCTATTTTCAACTCCTGTGTAATTCTAATTGCAACTTGACCTTGAAAGACTACTTCTTATTTGTTAGCACAATATCCAAGTGGTACAAATGTTGGTCAGAGTGACCACATTCTGCAAATAAGTGTAGAGGATTTTTGTGGGTAAAGCTCAGGTGATCTTATGGTATTATTGTAAACTTCTTAAATTTATTGTATTATTTTGTGCCAAAAATGCTAAAGATGCATATAGTAAAGGAAGAATATACTTATTATTCCCTATTCTCCATTAATCACATAAAAATAGATTGACTTTTATATAATTACTCCTCTGTGTTTAATAACTAGGTCACACCAATGAATAAAGTAAAACTGGTAGGATGTCTTGGTTAATTCTCTTCTAACAAAAGTTGAATTAAATGTAATATTTTCCTGTGCTTTCATTTTAATTTAGCTTTGTCTTTTTCAGTGGTAAACTGGTTTCTCCCAAGTGGAAAAACTTTAAGGGCCTGAAGCTGCTTTGGAGAGACAAAATCCGCCTGAACAATGCCATATGGAGGGCCTGGTACATGCAGTGTAAGAGAACCGAGCTTTAAACTGTATAGATTTGAGAGACTCTACTCTCCACCAAGCTGCAGCATGTGTGCAGACGTCAGGGACACGAGCACCTGATGCGGAGGCCTGGTGAACTTGGTGAACTTAGTGAACTTACTGGTGTCTTGTTTTCTCCCACTGCCACAGACGTGGAGAGAAGGAAGAATCCTGTCTGTCACTTCGTGACTCCCCTCGATGGAAACACAGACTTAGATGTCCATCGTCCTGAGGTCAAAATAAATTGAAAAAAACCCTGATGGATTTTGTCTCTGAACAAACTTCCTCATCATCATTTCTTCATGCTGTGTTCATGATAATAAAGTAAATGTGGTTAATTTCTGTTGTTCCTCTTTCCCCTGCAGGGCATTGTCACAGAGGGGAAATGCTGGAAAAGAAGAATTGAAATTGTGATCAGAGAATATCATAAATGGAGAACATACTTTAAGAAAAGGGTAAAGAATTCTTTATTGACTAAAAAGTCTTGCTTCTTCTTGATCAATTTGCCTAAAGACTTTCTATAACATTAAGACATTTTTAATGCTGCTCTGTTTTACAGTTGCACAAACACAAGGATGACGACCTCTCCAGTTTGCTAAAGGTAGGACCAGCCGCATCATGCTCAGCCATTTAAAGTGTTGTTAGTGTCAGATGAATATCACCATTGGCTGATGGAATTAACCACTAACCAAGGCAACTGCACATTTGACGTTTAAGTGTTAAGCCAGTGTTAAGCTCTTTGACTGACATCACACCCCCTAATTTACTAATGCACAATTTCTGCGTGAATGTGTTTCTGTGTGTGTGTGCGCTTGTGCAAATTTTTGCTTCTTTGCTTGGTGTTTGTATGTTGAACACCTGAAGGGAAAACAGGAGCAGTTGTTGCTGTTTGGGGAAGTCTCTCCAGACATGCTTCGTGTCTCCTTTAATCAGGATGAAGACACCGCTCTACGCCGGGTTCCTCGCAAGTATGCTGAGACTCCAACTCCCATGGAGATGGACAACCTTTTTGACATGGATGTTCTCATGTCGGAGTTTTCAGACACGTTGTTCTCCACGCTGGCCTCGCACCAGCCCATGGCCTGGCCAAACCCCAGGGAGATTGGTGAGATGATAATGTGGTGGCTGTCATGACGGAACGTAGGAAACAAGAACATAAAGTTAAAAGGAGAAATGAGAAATGCACTCTGTGATTATCCTGTGATGTTATGATTTAGAACCAAGAAGACCAAGACCAGTTAGAACAATCCTAAATCTAAAGAACATCATTTCTATTTAAAGTGATACTTCAGAAGCTTTTGTGTGAGCAAAATTCCTAGACGAAGATTCCTAGACGAATGTCATAGTCATATTTGGCTACATATTTGGTTTCCACACATTTCTGCTCTCTCTCTCTTTCTCTCTCTCTCTCTTTCTCTCTCTCTCTCTCTCTCTCTCTCTGTCTCTTCGTCTTCACCTTTCACAGCTCACGCAGGAAACGCAGACATGATCCAACCAGGACTAATCCCTTTACAGCCCAACCTGGACTTCATGGACTCATTCGATCCCCTCCAAGGTAGCAGTAAGACACATGCCTCAGCTGCAGCAAAACTTCACGCACTAATGGTGCACACTTTACAGAAATCAACCACATGGATTCTAGTAACCTTACAGATGAAGCAGGTTGCTCATCCTAACACAGAAAGTAGTGTTTTTACTAACCTCCAGCTAACATAGAGACTCTTGTTCCAGACTTATTTCACAGCCTCCGTCAGCCCGTCTTCCCCTCTGTTTCCCTCACTGCATCATCTGTTACCCCTCTGTCCAGCAGCAGTTCTCAGTCCCAGGTAAACACTGACCAATGGCACATTCCTCAACACACACCATCATGATGACTTTGTCCTAGGAGTGTGTGTTTTTTCCACTAGATCTTAGGAATCCATTAATGCAATATGCACACTTCCAGTTACTTTTCTCTCTGGCTGTAGTCCCTAATAATAATTGAGGTCACAAAACTATTTTACTGAACCTTTAACTATCGATCTCAGTATATGTGTAGCTGCTCTTCCTTCAAGCCAGCCATCCACTTAAAAAAAAATCACTGTTTTAATTACAAATAATTTGAATGGGTCATGTAGAAATAAAAGGAATAATAGGTGAATCACTTTCTAATTGCTAATCAAATCTAAAACTGAACCAAGTTTAAGGTTGTTCGGTTTTAGCTGATAACTGTCAGAATAAAAGCGCATTCTGGTTATACAAGAAAAATAAAATACATTAAAATGTTCTCTTATCATAGATAAAAACACACAATTTAATGAAAAGTGTTTTATAAATAGTAATTGCTGGTATTAATTGATGTTTTTACCAAAATACAATCTCCATCTGCAGGAGCAACAACAGAACTCCGCTGCTTACACTATAAATAATTAATATTTGCAACTGAAATTATGCTAAAATAAGAGGAGTATTTATCTAAACTTCCTGAGTTAAAGTCATTGGCTGGATGATAATGCAGCATTTGTCCCAACTATATGGACTCCTTGTATAAGACATACATTTGATGTTTGTTGATTTTATTTTTGTATCCTTCTCCAGGGCCAGTTATTGTCCTCCATGCAGCTCACAACCAACCACATCTCCCCCTCTGGACCTCTGCCCTTGCCCCCTCCTATAGTTGGTCAAGCCAACCAAACAGTTGGTGGTGGTTCAGGGGGCAGTGGTGGTGCTGACCATGGTGCCTATGTCCATGACTACATGCCAATGTTCCCAGGGCAGGTAGTCCAAGGTGACTCCCCTCAGCAAATGTCTCATGATCACCTAGTGCAGTGTCTGCCTGACCAGGACATGATTGCTGCAGCACCCATGGTGTCCTCCTCTTTGGACAACACCTCTGTTCTAGATGAAGCTGTAGCACCATCAGTGATCACACACACAGCCTCCTCTATGGTCACGCACAGCGATGCAGCAACCACCATCTGCCATGGCTCAGAGTACGACTCCATGTCCACGCAGCCCCCACCGTCCCAGCTCCAGACCCTCACTCCACTACACTCTGCTCCTGTTCAGCAGTCTTTTGCACTACCTCGTCCACCTCAGCCATCCAGTGCCAACACAAACCGACTGGTGCAAAGAATCGCTCATGCTAATTCCCTCCCTCCCTCTCAGCTTGTCTTCACAGGTTTGTAACTGTTGTTTGACTACACCCCTGTTCTCACAGAAATCCTCATCTGTGTCAAATTCAGAAACAGCATAGCACTTAGGTTGAAACCATAGAAGATAACCACTAACATCAGAAGGAAACAGCCCTCATCTGTAAGTGTTACTGTGTGCAATGAGAAGAAAGTAACAGTCTGTTGTTTTCACCTCACTGTTTTCCCTCAGCTCCATTCACAGGTCGCAGCAACACTTTGATTGTTACACCTACACCTCTGAAAGCAGACGATATTCCCAAGTCTGCAGTGGTCATCGCTCCGTCTCATTTAGGAGGGGTATGTCTGCTATTCTGCTCCATCAGTATCACTCTTCCTACTGTGTTTGTCACCATTACTAGGTAATCCCATGTATTTTTCTTTTTATAAAAATGTCAGCCTCCATGCTGATGAACACAGCCCCAAACACTTCCATCTTCCATTTTAAACAAATGTATGAGGTGATATAGTTTAAATGTATCGTGAAAACTACACCTACACCTCTGAAAGCAGACGATATTCCCAAGTCTGCAGTGGTCATCGCTCCGTCTCATTTAGGAGGGGTATGTCTGCTATTCTGCTCCATCAGTATCACTCTTCCTACTGTGTTTGTCACCATTACTAGGTAATCCCATGTATTTTTCTTTTTATAAAAATGTCAGCCTCCATGCTGATGAACACAGCCCCAAACACTTCCATCTTCCATTTTAAACAAATGTATGAGGTGATATAGTTTAAATGTATCGTGAAAACTACAGGACAAGCATACATATCAATTCAAGTTAATTAAGCATATGCAGCAGTAGAATAAATCGGTTGTTACAGTGAATATGATGAACATTAGAAAAAAAATACACTTACACTTTTAGTTTTTTTTATCTTCACCTCAGGCTCCTGGTTTTCAGGTTGTTCCTCGGAAGCAGAAATCTCCTCAGCCTATTATCCCAAATCAGAAGCCTTGTTCTTCCAATCGGAAAAGTCCCCAAATCTCCTCCACTGTCGGTAAGAATTCACTCTCCTCCAGAGTTTACCTGACCTTCAAAACTATAACATTCTGTCATCAAGTTGTTTTTGTTTTTTCTTTTTATGTTGTCTAGCTTCCAATCAGCCACCATCAGGGGTGTCCTGTGTATTAGACCAAATCCCCAGTCCACAGTCTCTTATCAGCAGCAGCACTGCTCTGGTGAAAAGTGAACAAAATCAGGTTTGGATCTGTTCATTTATTTTAGCCTGATCTTGTGTGTCAGGACAATGAAGAGTTATCTTATTTTACTGAACTGTAATGTGTACATATACATAAAAATATAAAAGTATCTGATGAAGGCAGTAATGCTTCAGCTACAGCAGGGGTCACCAACATGGTGTCAGGGCGCACCTTGTGGCCCTGTGAACTACCTATGGTGCCTGTGGGGTATGTTCCCAAAATAAAACTAGTCAACAAGAGGGTCAAAAGTTGTACTGCTATTGTGCTTATTGAATCAGTTACGCTGGCAGTGATATTCAAATAGGTTCAACAATGATGATAAGAAGAATGTCTACTATTGTATGTCCCTGAACTGATTATTATTACATTGTTCTAGAAGTCTGTAACAAACAAGTAGTTCTTTGTATTACTAAGTGGCCTTGAAGTAGCTCTCAGTTTCAAAATGGTTGGTGACCCCTGACCTACAGCTTCATCTAGAACAGCTCTGTTCAGATGAAGCTGTAGCACCATCAGTGATCACATACGCCACCTCCTCCATGTCCACGCAGCCCCCACCGTCCCAGCTTCAGACCCTCACTCCACTACACTCTGCTCCTGTTCAGCAGTCTTTTGCACTACCTCGTCCACCTCAGCCATCCAGTGCCAACACAAACCGACTGGTGCAAAGAATCGCTCATGCTAATTCCCTCCCTCCCTCTCAGCTTGTCTTCACAGGTTTGTTTTTGTTTTTGTTTTACTTCAACACCATATGAAACACTGTTAACACGCTCACTTTGGCCTTAAAAGAAATGTAACTGTAATTTAACTAACGAAGCCTGAAGCCTACCTTGTTTTTATCTAAAGCAAACAAAAGGGGATTGTAATCTGTGATAGGGCACTAAATGGGCATGTCCAGGCACCTTGTTCTCACAGAAAGCCTCATCTGTGTCAAATTCAGAAACAGCATAGCACTTAGGTTGAAACCATAGAAGATAACCACTAACATCAGAAGGAAACAGCCCTCATCTGTAAGTGTTACTGTGTGCAATGAGAAGAAAGTAACAGTCTGTTGTTTTCACCTCACTGTTTTCCCTCAGCTCCATTCACAGGTCACAGCAACACTTTGATTGTTACACCTACACCTCTGAAAGCAGATGATGTTCCCAACCCTGGAGTGGTCATCGCTCCCTTTTATTTAGGAGGGGTATGTCTGCTATTCTGCTCCATCAGTATCACTCTTCCTACTGTGTTTGTCACCATTACTAGGTAATCCCATGTATTTTATTGGTAGACAGAGATTTAGTTGCGAGGCGCTTTGGCCCAGAGGCAATGTCTCTGTCATTGGTGTGGAACTCCAGGGTTCACCTCCTGGGCAAGTTCAAGTCCCGGTTAGGGCGGTTGGTACCTTCCAGTGGACTCACCACCCGCAGGAAGGTTCAGGAGGTTGGTACGGTGCAGTGTGATTTGGGTGGCAACTGCTGCCCCCGCGACCCGGTAACGGATAAGCGGATGAAAATGGATGGATGGATGGAGATTTAGTTGCTCCGTGTCTACATGTCAGAAGCAGCTGAGACGAACTTGGAAGTCGTGCTTTATGATTTAGTTGCACTTGTGCTGTTTAATATAAAACTGAACCATGTCCTCAGGATCTAGGTACTGATTGGTCCCTTACAACAGACTGTGATGACAAGTGTGTCTTGTCAATTAAAAGTAATGAATGCTTTGTTTTTAAAAACAAAATTATAAAATGTGGTTAGAATTGTCTTCTACACCAACAAAAATGATTTTTTAAATATATTGCCTAAAATCACAAACTGTTGTGATCTGCTTTGGGGTTTTTATTCCACATTTTCTGCCAACAACGGTATCAATATCTTGTTGATACAGTTGTTTGAAATGTCCAGTTGACTTACAAAAGAAGACAAGAAAAACAAACTTGTGTCTGCATTAACACTGATGAACACAGCCCATAAACTTCCTTTTATCCATTTTTAAATAAATGTATGAGGTGATATAGTTTGAATGTGTAAAACTCCATAAGACTCCATACAAGCACTGTCTGTTTTCTATAAATACAGGACAAGCATACATATCAATTCAAGTTAATTAAGCATATGCAGCAGTAGAATAAATCGGTTGTTACAGTGAATATGATGAACATTTGAAAAAAAAAAATACACTTACACTTTTAGTTTTTTTTATCTTCACCTCAGGCTCCTGGTTTTCAGGTTGTTCCTCGGAAGCAGAAATCTCCTCAGCCTATTATCCCAAATCAGAAGCCTTGTTCTTCCAATCGGAAAAGTCCCCAAATCTCCTCCACTGTCGGTAAGAATTCACTCTCCTCCAGAGTTTACCTGACCTTCAAAACTATAACATTCTGTCATCAAGTTGTTTTTGTTTTTTCTTTTTATGTTGTCTAGCTTCCAATCAGCCACCATCAGGGGTGTCCTGTGTATTAGACCAAATCCCCAGTCCACAGTCTCTTATCAGCAGCAGCACTGCTCTGGTGAAAAGTGAACAAAATCAGGTTTGGATCTGTTCATTTATTTTAGCCTGATCTTGTGTGTCAGGACAATGAAGAGTTATCTTATTTTACTGAACTGTAATGTGTACATATACATAAAAATATAGTTACTACACTCCCACACATTCTTTCCACTTTTGTGTTTTTTCTTTTAATAAAACCTAAAATGTTGTTGCTGTGGTTGTGACAGAGCCGGAGGACAAAACACATATCTGCTGAGCAAAAAAGACGATCAAACATAAACATTGGTTTTGAAACGCTCTGCTCGCTGGTGCCTACACTGAAGTCCCAGTCAAATGTAAGTTGTGTCAGCATTCGATTTTTGACGACGCTGCTGTTGTGCATGGTTGTTCATTGTGTTGTTTGTCTCTGCATTTAGATCAGCAATGCCATCACACTGCAGAATTGGGAAGCTGCAGCAGGAGAGGCAGCAGATGCAGGAGGAGGTTAGGAGACTGCGGGAGGAGATAGAGGAACTCAACAACTCAATTGGGTAATCACTCACGCTCGGTGTGATTATATTTTTGTTTGAATGATTTACATATGACATATTTTATTCCTGTTCTCTTCACAGCTTCTGTCAGAAGCAGCTGCCTGCAACCGGGGTTCCAGTCAGAATGAACCACTTGAGCCAAATGCAGGAACAGTTCAATGAATACGTGAAGAACCGAACTCTTCAGAACTGGAAGTTCTGGATCGTATCCTCCCGTCAAAGAGTGGTCACATATTTGTTCACTAATAATATTATAATAAATAATAAATAGTCTGCTTAAATATAAATTAGAGATGTCTGATTTTAACTTTTTGCCGATATGCTGATATTGTCCAAATTTTTAATTTCCAATTCTGATATTTACCAATATAGCGGGGCAGTAGTGGCCTTGTGGTTAAGAAAGTTAAGGGGCACCTCCTCACTAAGGTGATGGATTAAAGCTACAATTGTCAATTATTTTCTCCCATGCACCCCTAGGGGATAGAAGTGTTAAATGAGTGACTGTTTTTTGTCCCAGGGTCCAAATGAGGCCCTGTAACAGTTTTTGGAACTTTATTTATGGGCTGCCAGGACAATGAAACAGAACAGATAAATCATACAGTGTCAGCTGCCGTTCTATAGTTTTTTTTTTCCAAAATGTATTTAAAAAATTGTCTGGAATATTTTAGGAGATATACTGATTTAATTGCAATATCTGACATAAACCTCATGACCCCACTGGCTTAAATGTGTTAGACTCTACGTCATTCTTTTCCAAATATGTAGAACAATACATGTGAGCCTTTATTATTTAAATACAAAAGGTAGTGTTTCTCAAAGGAAAGAGCAGGGCCCCCACTGTGGCCAAGAGTATTTAAAGGGGGACCAAGCTGAGGCAAATATTTTAAATTGAATCAATTCTATAGTTTTGTGCTACAGTGGGAAAACTGCACTTATTTGTTATTTTATTCCTTTTGTTCAATGATAAAAGTAGTTTTGTTGGAAGCACAGTGTTTTAGGTTAAGTTCAGTATTATATATATTATATATACTATTATATACCAAGCTACAGCTAAAACTATTATACATATAATTTCTGCCACTATCCTGCAATGTAAATAATTTCACCTCAGTCTCATTTTACTTTGGCATTCACATTCATTCATTTCAGAAACTCTATCAAAAGCAAGTGAAAAAACTAGATGGAATAGTTGATTTCAAAATTCACATTTTACACTAACCAGTCATAATTGTTCAGGTCTCACTCATCTGTGTCACTAGTCCTTGACTGACGTTGATATCAGTTCAGCATCATCTTCAAGCCCCTTTTTGACTCCTTTAACGGGATGGTGTCGACGACAAGCAAAGAGGAACTGTACCAGACCACGCTGCAGTGGCTCGATCGTCACTGTTCACTTCCAGTGCTCAGACCCAGTGAGTAAAAGATCATCACGTCCTGCACGCACGCACTGTCACAAACAGACCCTCCAGTCACCACCTAACTCATACTATGACTGAAATAGAGTCATGGTTTACCCACAGCGTGTGTGGGTACAATTACAGTTTTATATGAATTTCTCCTGCCTTTTTTCCTGTCATCAGGGAACTATTACACCAAATTCTAAGTTTTCATTATCTCACATTATCACATTTTCTGACTGTGGTTTTCAACCTCTTCCTCCACCTCAGTGGTTGTTTCCTATTCACTCTTACCGAAGCACACAAATATGATCACGCTATAGCTATTGGACCAGGTCACCCAAGGCTGGGCCCCACATGTGATGGACTAAAGAAGTGAGAAGATTAATATAGAATTGCAGTATTTGTCACATATTCATTTTTAAGTCATGGTCAGGTGCTTGTATAACAACATCAGATCAGTCTGAGAGAATTAAGCTTGTTGCAAAACTACTTTTCATATTCTGAGATCTTGTAATTTATTGCCTTTGCATTTCCTTTGATAATAGCATGTTGAAGTCTCTCAGATTTTGTTTCATTAACACAGTTTCACTCCCTTCCAAATTCCAGAAACAGGAGTGCAGAGAGGCCAAGAGGTTATCAGCAGACAGCAAAAATAGAAATGACTATGTTGCCTCTAATGTTTATTAGATACTGTTTTTGTTGATTGATACTGATTCTTTTCCAATTAATACGTCACAATAAAAAATGAATTTTCATGAAATAGCAATAACGCACAATCCACGCGCTGTGGGCATGTGGATGTGGATACTGTCTGATGTGTCTGATGTATTCCTTGTGACTCTGCTGTCTTCCAGTGGTGCTGAACACTCTGTGCCAGCTAAGCACGACTACAGCCATCCTCAGTGACCCCTCCTTGTTGCCTGAAGAAGCCGTGCAGGCCGTTTCCCAAGGAGATATGTAGCTGGGGGGGGGGAAGTGGAAGGAGCAGCCGCAAACGCAGCGTCGTTTCGCCCTAAATCACCAGAGCCAGACCAGCCTCTCCTCCAAAGGTCCATCCTTTATCAGAAACTGATAAAGGGTGCTGGTATGGTGTATGTGAGATTCTCATACATTGTCCTCCTGTACGTACATTATCTGAAAATGACACACACACTCGAACCTTCTGACTTTTATAATTATTGTGCAAAGAAATGGCTTTTTATCATTGTTATTGATTGATCTTCTAAATACTGGGTTGGAAGAAGGTACTTGGGGTTTGCCTTTTGAACAACAGTGTTTTTTTAAAAATATGGATTACTTTTATAGTGTGCAAAGACAGCATTATATGAAACAAAAAGGGAAATGTTGAGTTGGTTGTTTTTTTTTTCCTTTTTGTCAGATGTAAAATAAATGGATGGATTTTTTTTGGAATAGATTATAGCATAGTTTGCTTTGTTTCTCAATAAGGTTTTTTAAAATTAAATCTGAAAAGTGAGATAAAGACAGAGTTTTCAGAGAACAAAAATAAAAGTAAAATAAAATATTCAGACTCAAGTGATGCTGTTCTTAAATCTCAGATAACAGTGCTTGTACTTTATTGTACACAGTATTTGGAAAAACACTTTTACCAAATTTTGTCATTTCTCAGTTTTCCTCTGTTCAGTATTGGTTTTGTTTTAATGAAAGCACAGTAGCTCTCTAAACTCAGGGCTGCATCATTGTTTTACGGTCAGTAAATCAGATGTCAATCTTTCTCAACTAATGACACTTTTCTTGCAGAGTACTGTGTATTGTTGTTGTTTTTGTTTTATTAGCAGCCACAAACATAAGCATCAGGGGAAGCCATGTCAACCATCGCTGATGTTTTTGTTTTGTTGCCACAAACACAAAGAACAATTTCCACAAAACCACTTAGTCACCCTGTGTGACACAGATCAGCTGTGACTTCTTTTCTCTTTGACGCTCCTCAGGTAGACTAAGATTTAGTTGATCTTTTTCTCTCTCTTTTTTTTCTCTCACTCTTTCTCTCTCACTCTCTTTCTCTCTCTCTTTCAACTGGTTCACAGTCGGTAGCAGACACTAAGCACTCGTTATTCTTCAACACTTCTTCTGCAAACAGCATTGCAGCCATTTTTGACAGTGTTGCAGACCGAAATGCTAAGCGCTTGTTTTACCTGGATATATTTATTACTACTGTAAAGAAAACAATGCAACTCTGAAAGCAGCGATGAATGTTCCTTAAAAATTGTGTTCTTCTTGTTCTTCTCCCATTATATTATGGTTGGTTTTTTTTGTGTGAAAATGTTTTATTTGCTGCACGATTGAAGCCTTAAAGTCCACAATGTTTGACAAATCAGGATGAATTTTCACCTTTTAGATTTCTGAGTTGCTGAGACTGTTTTGCAGTGGATCGTTTACAGGCAATACTAAGGCTGTTTGAATGTTTTAGCAAATAAAAATATTTTATTTTGTCACCCATGGCCGGTAAATCAGCTTCTTCAAAAGGGCTTTAAAAATGAGACGCAATTAAAGGAAGAAAAACGAAACAGTGTGTCGGTTCATGCTTTATTTTCAATAAATATAACGTTGCCGTCGATAAATATTTCTTTAGATAAATAAACAAAATTAAACTCAAAGTATGGAAAAATACAATGATACATAACACTGTTGGTGATTTAAAACAGATCACTAGTGTATGATGCCCTTGTAATTTTAAAATTCATTAAAGTCCTACGTGTGAAAAATAAATACATAAATAGGATTAATATAAAGGAGGGTAGAAATCAAAGTGTAGATATGCTGAGCTCCTTATACAGGCTCTGCAGCAGACAATGGACATGGAGGTATATGTCTCTATCGTGCTCAAAGCTGGGGACAATGCAGTTTTCATCATCTGGGGAGTCGATTTCTTCTGTCAAATTCTGAATGTATTGGCAGAATTTCAGCAAAGACTGAGACATCTTATGATTAACCAGACTGGACATTTTTGCCATATGGCACTTGAAAAGGTTGAGGTGAGAGGTTCCATCCTGCACCCGGTCCCGCTGCAAGATGTTCTTAGGGCAGGAATCATCACGAAACATCTCTGTCTGTATGACACAGTTGACAGAAGTCAAATTAAATTCACCAATGATTAAACCAACTTTGGATTCTTACAAAGAGAAAGTCCCTCTTTATTTCTGATCACACAACATGCTGATCGTCAAATCATCAAATTGCCATGGAGCATTTTAAGAACAGATATTAAAAACTGAAACTGTCTCTTAGTAGTAAAGAGGCACAGACTGTGGCTTTGAGCTGCAAGGCGTCATCCACCTCATCTCTCTGATCATGAAGTAGAGCAGATATGCTGCAGTTTACTAACTAAAAGCAAGCACTTGGGGCAAAGAAATAGAAGTTGTCAACTTACGGATTCGTTCAGAGTGGTACTGATTTCCTTCTGCATCATTTTCATGTAGTCTTCACTGTTGTCTTCAAAGATGTTTTTGTCTTTTGATGGTGCAGATGGTGTTGGTGTACATGTTGCTTGTGCAATGAGCATGCACACAGAGATAACAACTGCATGGGTGAGAAAACAGCACAGAGAAGAAAGATCGTTGATTACAAGAGAGTTTGTTGGTTATGCATCTGTGCAGTAAAGGTTGAAGCTATAACTGGACTGACTTACCAATACTGATGTCCATGGCGAGGGTAGTTTCTTACACTTTCTCTAATTCATGTTTGGAAAAGCTCTTTTAAAAGTATGTTTAAGATAACAATCAGAATATTAATACTTTCCTCCCTTGAATAATTAATCACAGGGATTGCTCATGCCTTTTATTTTTTGAGGGGGGAGTTCCCTCATCAGTGACTTGAAAAAGTCTACAAATTTCAAAACGGACACTTATTCATCATAGAGTCAGGTTAAAATGTTTGGTAGGAAAAATTAAAACTACTCAATGGGGATTCTGTCATGCTGCATTGTAGATTTATTATCTACTATGACGTCAGACGGGTATGCATAACTGGAATCAGAAGTCAGCATGTGAGTGTGTGGGAGTTTGTGTAGGTTTGTCATTTCTTTTCCCTGTGATGTAGAGGGAAATACATTTGGTTTGAAACACCCTAAACCAGGCATGGAAAAATAAAGAAAACAATGAGACAATTCAAAGAAATCAATAGGATACATACTCACTGATGGCGTAAGAGATGCATGATCATGACCCTTTAACTCTCCTAAGTCTTTGTAGCATAAATTCAATGAGATCCTGAAACCATTTTTTTAATCATTTCAGGTGCAAAGAATTTGTCAAATTGCGATCTGTTAAGTGTAGATGCTGTTCAAGCACAGTGAACTCATGCTCTTACACAAGAAAAAATATTTTTACTTTATGAATCGACTGTAATTTGGCTGAGTGTAGTCAGAGGACAGAAAATAGTGTGGAAGTAAAAGTGTGAACAGAGTCAGCAACATAACACTGGCAGGCCATCGCAGTTCAGTATTGTCCGGTTGTTTCCAAGGGGTCCTGAGATTTGACAAGAAACATAGCAAACACTGTGAACTCTAGCTCTTCTTGTGGATTTTATATAACAAATTCTGACCTTAAATTCACATTGTTTGAGATCCATCACCCAATTAGAAAATTATTTCTGCTAATCTGCTATTGTCCCTTTTTTAAACCGGTGTGAATTGTTTGAATCATTTTCCTGTAATTGGTATTACCTGCTTTAGTATTCTGCTCAAAGGTTTGTCCTATCCAGCAATGCTCTCTTGTTTACAAAGATCAATTTGAGTTGCTGTGACCTAAAACACGTAACCAAACCAACCAAAATATCACTGTTTAAACGTTAAAGTTAAAGGTTGGTATGGCATAACAACATACTGGTGAGTTGTGCAGTCAGAGTGACAGATGGGCTCAGGTGGGGAAATCAGTTCTCATAAGCATCTCCGACATCCTGTGTTTTTATCAAAGGGTAATTAGTTTAGAAACTCATAAAGCAGTACTTAAAGGAATGAGGTCATTAGAGGGACAACACAGACAGGAAGGTTTGGAGAAAAAGCTAGAGAAGCCAGATTGAGATGGTTTGGACATGTGCAGAGGAGGGACAGTGGATACATTGGTAGAAGAATGTTAGAGATGGAGCTACCAGGTAGGAGACAAAGAGGAAGGTCAAAGAGGAGATATATGGATGCAGTGAGGGAGGACATGCAGATAGTTGGAGTCAGAGTAGAAGATACAGAGAACAGGGAGAGATGGAAATGATTTGCTGTGACAACCACTGAAAAAAAGGGACAAAGCCGAAAGGAAAAGGAGAAGAAAAAAGCAGTACTTAAAGGGAACAAGAGAAAAATATATTTTTGTTGTCTGATTTTTTAATTCTTAATAATTCTATCAGTGATAATAATAATAATAATAATAATATATCTCATACAAACATTACATTTTATGTTTTAGCCCCTATCTCTACATCTACATCTGATCTAATGTGATCTTATTGCAACAGAACAACACAAACATGTTAATATAAAAACAGAAGAATTTTAATATAAAACAACACACAGTGTTTTCCCCCTGAAAGTCAGGTTAACTTCATTTAAATAACCAAATTACAACAGAAATAATTTAAAGTCACTGCCGGGAAAAAGGGAAAAAAATATCCATGCATTAGTGGACCACTTGCTGTTTTACATATTTTACCACCAGCAAGATTATTAATAAATAAAATGTCTTAAATTACAATAAATAGAATCCATTAATAAATAAAAATAAAAGTAAATAAATAAAAAATAAAAGTTGATTAAGAGTTACAGATGGTGGTAGTGTTAGTGAAAGACTCCACCCACTGCCTGGTAAAATTGATGATTTGCAGGCCGATTTCCTTCAGTTCATAGTTGTGTCCGGCTGTAATCTGTCTGTGACACTGTAGCGTAGCTGTTGTTTGAAAAACAACTGAGAACTGCGTAGAAAATGCTCTGATGTCTCTGACTAGGCCTTGGCATTGCTGAGTCAGGTTACAGAGGATTTGGACGATGTGGTTCTGGAGGTAGTCGTTGATGGCACACACTGAGGCCTGGATTTTCATCCTGTCATTTCCAACAGGAAGAGTTATCCCCTCTAGGGGCTCGAGGCCTCTAGGTGGAGTTCCATTGAATGTTAAATTGATCTGGAAGAAAAGAGAGTCATCCTGAAGTGTGGCATAAGAAGAGGAAGGTTTGCGACAAGAATCTGGAGCTGACCCTGGCACCCATCCATTGGCAAAATCAGAAAATCCCATTCCCCTATATACATGTTTCTGATCTTCTAAGAATTTCCACTAACTACACTTCAAAAACATTTTCATAAGAATGTTAACTGGTCAACAATATCTAACTTTACAGCCCAAAGCACAAGTTCCAATGTGACCCATTCATAACATAAGGTATTTGAAAGCCTTTGGATAAGTAGGCAGGTCAGCTATCTCAAAACCAAAGAGTTGCGGGTTTGAATCCAGATGCTCCTGGTGATTCTGACAATAGCAGGAAAGTAGTGTAAAGCACTGCAGCCCAACCTTAAAAAGCACATACATGTTTACGTGTCATCTGTTTACTTACATAATCCTGTTCTGCTTTCAGTAGATTACACAAAGGTAACGTGAGTGTCTCCAGATCTTCCGGAGGTATCTGTGTTATAAGAGGTTGTGAGGGCATAAGGAGGACGGGCATCATAACGGCAAAGAAAAACAGAAGATCTGCAAGAGGATGAGAACTTTTCTTCAGTTCTTCAGGAACAGCAGGAACAAACATCAGTTATAGACAACCTTAAAACAGTACCTTGAGAATCAAAGGTCATAAGGCCTTGTTACAAGATACCGAGCAATAGATTTAACAGATTTTATTTTCTCACCCAAAATTATTAAGCTTTCATTCAAACACTGCTTACCGTAAACTAAAGACATGGCTTAAACCGTGGTTTCAACATGTAAACTCTTCTCAGAGCTTATATATGTGAACAACAAATGTTTTTTTTTTTTTATGTACACTGATCGTGGTTGGACAACTATCGCTCACGTCACAAGAGATCATTGTGGAGTTCTGCTCTACTCAGCCGTTTGATGTGGGATGCTAAAGTAGGCAACACTCTTATCTACACTGTTTGATGTCGATCACTGGAAGAAAGCAAACTGTCAATTGTCATGTTGTGAGTGTCATCTAACAACAGGCGTTGAACTCATCCTGTAAAATGATTACCAATTCTTTAGACCAAGTCTAAACCCTAAAGAAAGAAGAAAGAGGACTGGGTGAAGTGGTGACTCAATACATACGTACGTAACATTTTTCCACAAATCAAAGATTGATACACCATAGTTGGTCATAGTCAGGTCATATATATATATATAAAATCATGTCATTTTTTAATAAAATGACATGATTGAAAAAATCACTCAAATAAACAAAACACCTGCAGAGGATTCAAAACAATTATATGGCGGCAGGGTTAAAGAACCATTTCAGGTTCTCAGGGAAAAAGTAAATATTCTTCTATATAAGAATGTCAATAAATACATTGTTCAAAAGAAGAAAAAAGAA